CTAATTTTATTTCTTTTATTCTGTATTCTTTATGTTAAACCCATCATTTCTATGATTATATTGAGCTTTTTGGGTAATTTGACGATGCTTTGACAAGAAAAAAATATATAATAAAAAGAAACACAAAAAGGAAATGACATTCCATAAAATCTTGCTGTTCTAATTCTGCATATTTAAGTTTTGGTTTTAAACAAGAAAGAAAAGGGGAAAAAAAGCTAATTTGTGTAGCTTGAAAATAAAAAGTTAGTTAAAAAACCTAGACTTGAGAATAAGTTTATGAGCATAAAGACATTTTTTTCGTTAAAGAATGATTTTATTATTTACTTTGTAACAATTTTTTTAGTTTATTGATTTTGTATTTTAGGCAAATGCCAAGTTATTAACCTGATTCACATTATATTTACGTTATAATACGTTTTTATTCCTTTTTCTGCTCGCAGTAAACACCAGAAACTGAAGGAAAATAGCTTGAAGACTTTTTTAAAACCATAAACTCAAATTAACCTCAATTCCTGCACCATGAATGTTCGCCCCCGTGGATTATCATGACCCCTCTTTCCTTTCTATCCAATCTGCAGCCCTCAGGAAACAACGYCCTTGGTGTGGCCCTTCAAACCGGGCCAGGCGCACAAGGAGCCGGGGCGCAGAGGTCCGAGTTATTCAAACAGCCTGAACAGCGCTTATCTCTCTCTCAGACCAAACCAGCTGAGAATACAAAACACAGCACAGACTCGAGTGCAGCATGAATTTGTAGCCACAGGAAGCGCGTCTTTGGTTTATTCCAGCTGCTGATGGGGGGCTTCAAATCGGCGCCAGAATCGTGCGTAAAAGCGCAAATGTCCAAACTGAAGCATGAAGGAGCATGAGTTACTGAGCGACATTATTAAACAAACAGCACTTTGTGTGCAATTATCCACCAGCAAAAAGTCACTCACCTTTTCCAAAAACGCCGTACAATCCAACAACCAGGCCAACGAGAATAAAAGTCTTCATTCTGATGGACTCCACCGCAGCAAGCTTTCAAATAAAACAGGCAAAAATAAGTTCTTTATTCCTGCTTGTGTTTGTTTTTTCTTCCTTCCTTTTTTTTTCTCCTCTGCAGTTATCTGCAAACAGCGCAGCGCAGCGCAGGGGACTGTTGCGCTCTGAGGGACTGATGGTCAGTGGATGGAGACTGAGGTTTTTCCCCCCCGCTCTCTCTCTCTCTCTCTCTCTCTCTCTCTCTCTGTCTCTCCCTCTCTCTCTCTCCCTCTCTCTCTGTCTCTCTCTCTCTCTGTCCCTCCCTCTCTCTCTCTCCTGAAGTTGGCTGCGGGGAAATCACGCAACAGGACGCCACGCTTGAACTCGAGTGCACCTTTTTCCCATCGTTGCTGCACTGTGGCGCCGATTTATAACGCTTCCCACAGTCCAGACACCGGAAAGCGGCCTTCCGTTACGTCCACCTACACACCCACCGTGCGTAAAAGGAGTATCCTTTCCCCAGTTGACGGGCAGCCGCTGGGGTGTTGATGAGAAAACATTGTGGCATTTAAAATTGATCCAGTTATTCCCCCCTTTGTTCTTTATACACTGCAATTTGCAACTCTCCTAATGTGAACTTAAGTGTTCTTAAAACTGCGCTACCTTGAGTAACCTGAGAGGATGATAAATCAGAAAATCTGCGGCTCCCGAGCGCCCATCTCGCACGCCGCTCGGGCAGACGGGCTGAGCAGCACGTAGGCACCGACGCATTAACCCGTGGTTTCCTTGTCAACAGCGTGTCAGATGAGGTTGTTTTTTTTTTTTTTTTTTACATCGAGGACTGAAAGTATGCTCCAAGACAAGAAAAACAATCGCGCCACAGCCAGGCGAGCGCGTTCGGATGCAACAAGTTGCCCAACTGCACAGTGACAGGCTTATTGTGCTCACTGTCTGCTCAGGTGAAGTGGGACTGCCTGCTTTTCAAATCAAATTAATTGAATAATTAAAATAAACACAAATCAAAGTGAAGCTGCAAATATTTTCCAGACAAAAGTTAAATGAGGAAACAAAAAAAGGAAAACACACAGAGTTTGTTTTGAAACCCAAATACCAATCCTGTTTTAATAATAATAATGTGCTTTTTTTTAAATGCACCAATGAAACATATCAGTAACTTCTGTAAGGTGCAGCTTCTTGCAGATAAAGATGACTGCAGTTGTGCAGGTTGGCCACCAGGTGGCGATCAGCATGAGAAAGGAGCAACAAACAGCTCTCTGCGAGTCTCTTCTCACCTCCTTTACACACATTACATCAACTGTACAGTGATTTTTAAAGGGGAACATTATGATAAATTAAATCACAATAAGTCAGAACTAGTCTTAATATCACTAGAATCTATTCAACAGCTCAGGTAAACTCACACTGCACATATAAAAACACAGTACAAAAAACGTGAGTTGTGAGAACACTTTAGCCTTTATCTTTTGAGTGTTACAGATTTTTATGTTTTTATTTAATWAAAAAAAACTGAAAAAGCTCCAGATAGTTGTGCTCCTATCTAAAACGCTTCTTTAATGAGACCACTTTAGTGTTTTCTCAGTGTCAGATGTCTGACGTGCCCCTCGTCAGCTGTTTGGAGCAGGTGATGTCTTTGGAAGGAGGGATCTAAAATCACAGACACAAGATCTTATAAAGTATTTTTTCCTTCAAGATGTTCTGCAACAAGTAACACATTTCCTTCAACATTAAAGCATGAAAACATAGACTGTCAAAATAAAACCCTCCTATGACATATTAAGGGGTTTATGGCAATTTAAACTCAAATTAAAATAAAAAGAAAACGCTTCATTTTAAAAATCCTGTACGTTCCTTTGAATCCTTGTTCAAACAATTTGAATAAAAAATGAAGCATTTCAAACAATGCAGAATTAATTATAAAGTAATAAAAGCGTCTGAGATCTTTTTATTTCATTTTTAAAAGGAGCTGATTTAGAAACGTGTAGCAGCTACTCGCCGGACTTGAGAGTCATTTGGTCACTAATCGTAAAAACACATTTAAATCACCTTCTTGTCCGACAGCAGCCGATAGCAGTGAGRTGTAAGAAGTTAATAAGAAACTCACATGAAACTTGGCTCAGATTTTAAAAAAATTGAGTATGAGTTGGCATTTTTGTTTTCATGTGCAACACATTTTTAAAGGCAAATGCTTGTCCTAAGAAGAAAATCAGTGAAATAATAAAAATGTTGGCAACTATATATATATATATATATATATATATAAAGTAATAAAGGATTATGGATCAAGACAAAATCTTTTTTTGCAAGTATATTATCTGTATTTTAAATACATTGCATTTTTATATGAGTTAATATTGATGTATTAATGCACACCAAATCAACCTTTCAGTCTAAGTTTAAAATATTTCTGGATGCAACAATTCAATATTTATTTAATCAGTCTGTGAACATTTTTTTTTGTGCAAGTCACCATAGTTTGTGGGCTGGGAGGAAACGGATCTGTTTGGAGCGTGGATAACGGCCCCTCTGGTCCTCTGCTGCTCTGAACGTATTCCTCTGACTCACAGTACCATTGTGCAGAAACTGTCCTCAGTCAGTCGCTCAGGAGGTTGATGCTGAGTCACACTTGCCCTTTGGTCTGCTGGCGGATCCAGTCACTAAACTTGACCACTTGAGTGTAGACGCCAGGGCGGTTCTGCCTCGCGCAGCCTTCGCCCCAGCTAACGATCCCTGCCAAGAACCAGCGCTTGCCTCGCTCCAGACACACCAATGGACCTCCTGAGTCACCCTGAAGGCATGAACGTCAGCCAGAGGAACAGTTACAAAAGAAAACTATTTACGTAAACCACTATGTGGGTCAATTATGAAGCTGTTGTGTAAACTTTCAGCTCAATAAAGTGTAAAGATTAAGGAAGCTGGGAAATTATGCACATCAATAAGCAAACACACTCAAAATCCTGCTCCATTTAATGAGACAGACTTACTGAGGACCACAATTCACCTAAACCAGAGGTTCCCAAACTGGGGGGCACCTGAGAGCTCAAGGGGGTCCATAACCTTGTCTGCTTGAGGTCGTAAAAATATAAATTAATTGTTTGTATATACAAATCAGTTAATTTGAATAATTAAAACTCTGTATTAATCAGTTCTTCTTCTTCTCTTCCTTTTCAAAATAAAAGTTTGTAACTATTCATTTTATTCTTTTATTATTTACTTAAATAGGTTGGGAACCTCTGACCTAAAACATAGGGTCATTTTCCAACAAATTTTACTTTTTTTTTTTTAATTATCAAAACACAAACCTGGCAGGCGTCCACTCCACCCTGTAGGTTCCCAGCGCAAAGCATCCTGGGAGTTACGGCGTCATCGTACAGTTTGTTACACGTGTTCCTGTTAATGATCTTCACTGAAGCTTCTTGTAAGCGAGAAGCCAATTCACCTAATTTGAACAAAACAATACACGTGTAAGTGTTTCAGGTGCAACTTGAGCCTCTACCTGTGTTTTTTTTTACCCTTTCACATGTGATTGTTGAGTACTGTATGGCAGGCAATTTTAACATAAAATCAAATTCACAACACTTTCATTCCAGATATCTGAAACTGATTTATGGTTAGTCAAATGAGTTAATTAAAATATCTCTAATTACACTCTGACTAGTATAAATGATGTCAGATATACTATTAAGTTGTACGGAGGCTCCAATTCAAGATATTTTAAAATTATTTTGAATAGTCAAAAATAAAGTTTGAGAGAGTTATTTTTGATTAGTCATTATTCGCTTTCAAAATATCTCACTTTTTATTCTGACTAGTCATAATTCCGGGAGGAGGCCCCGAGGAAGACCCAGGACACGCTGGAGGGACTATGTCTCTCGGCTGGCCTGGGAACGCCTTGGAGTTCCCCCGGAGGAGCTGGGAGGAGCTGGAAGAAGTGGCTGGGGAGAGGGAGGTCTGGGCCTCCCTTCTGAAGCTGCTGCCCCCGTGACCCGACCCCGGATAGGCGGAAGAAAATGGATGGATGGATGGATGGATAGTCATAATTCCAATTAAACATAATGACATCATTATTCAATGACATCATTATATCAAATATATCAGTTCAACGATGCGTGCAAATTAAATTGCAGATATTTTGAAGGCAAATTATGACTCGGCTAAACTAAATTTGCGATATCTAGAACTATAATTTGGACCAGTCGAGACTCCTTTTAACATCTTGAAAATTTTTTCATCTAAGCGGGTTTTCTATTTAAGATATCTTGAATTAACATTTTGACTAATCAGAGTATAAATAAAAGTATCTTAAACTACCATTCAGGATAGTCAAAATGTAGTTGCTCCAAGTCAAAACTCATTTTTGGATATCTAGAATATGATTGCAGATCGTCAGATGAAGCCATTTTTATGTTAAAATAGCCTGCCATACACTTACCATCCTCCATCAAAACCCCCCAGCCTGTGACATAGCAGCTGGTCCCGGTGATGAAAACGTGCGAAGCAGCAGGAACACACACGGGCTGCACCAGCTCGTTGAAGAAAACAGGTGAGCTGAGCTCGAGGAGCGCGATGTCGTAGTCAGACGTGAACTGGTCGTACTGCGGGTGGAGGAGAATCCGCCGGATCAGTCTGGTGGCCGCTCCGGTGTTTCCCCTGGTCATCACCCGCATCCCCATGTAAGCCCGCCAGGCCCGGACCTCCGAGTACCTGCAGAGACGAGGAGCGTGAAAACAACTACTCAAGCCATCCAGGTGAGGGTTTTCTGTGCCTCTCATACTTGATGGCATCGGAGTCCTGGAAGCAGTGAGCAGCAGACAGGAGCCAACGACTGGAAACCAGTGTGGCTCCACAGACGTGACCGTAGCGGTCCATCTGGAGGCTGACCTGCCAGGGCCACGACCCCAACACAGCATCAGACCCTCCTACTATCTTAGTCCGCTTCCTGGGCTTGGTACCACAGCCTGTGAGATGGAGGAAAACCAGTGTTGTATAAAGTGCCTCAAAGTGATACTTGAGCAAAAGTACAAGTACCTTACCATAAAATTACTTCGGTAAAAGTTAAAGTCTCCTCTAAAGATATTACTTGAGTAAAAGTTTTAAAGTATCTACTATATTTTGTACTTAAGTATTAAAAGTAAATTTCTGACATAAAATGTACTTACGTATTAAAAGTAAAAGTACTGAGTAAAAATGAGTGGCTAGATTTTCCGAAATGACATTTATTGGGAGGTGATACCCTCAAAACAGGTT